AAAATGGGACCTTCTGAAACTGAGAAGCTTTTGTAAGGCAAAGGACACAATCAGTAAGACAAAACAGCAGCCCACAGAATTGGAAAAGATCTTCACCAACCCCACATCTGACAGAGGGTCTGACAGAGGGCTAATTTCCAAAATATACAATGAACTCAAGAAGCTAGCCACCAAAACACCAAACAATGAAATTATCACCTCCCATGACACCGCCTTTCATCTCTCACAGCCACAACCCTCACACATCCCAATACGTGATCACAGTAGAAGGAAAAGTGTTCTGAACATACAAGTTGTTATATTCAGTGCCGTCTGTCCACATCCAATGGTGCTCTGAGGACTTTCTGTGGAGGCCGATCCAGTGGTCATGCTCCCCCTTGTATCTCTTCAGAAATTCCTGTCATAGAACACAGACGGCGAATGCATGTGTCTCAGCTTCAGATAAGACTTGAGTCTCTCTGCCCTACAGCCTCCTCTCAGGATGGCAGCAGGTTTGCACTGAAGGTCATTGACTTTGGAGCCTAAATCATCTTCAGTTCTTAGTGGATGCATGGCACCCTGACAACCACCAATCCTTCTGCGGCTGAGAAAGTCCCTGGCTAAGCCTCTACTTGCAGTTATTAGCAGCTGTCACCTTAGGTATGCAACACCTGTCAGCTCAGAAATCAGCAGAAAAAAGCAGGGGAATCTTGAAATTCACAGGCAAATGGATGGAACTAGAAGAAATCATCCTGAGTGAGGTAACCCAGTCACAAAAAGACAAACATGTTATGTACTCACTCATATATGAATTTTAGACATAGAGCAAAGGATTACCAGCCTACAATCCTCATCACCAAACAAACTAGGAAATAAGAAGGATTCTAAGAGAAAAATGTATGGACCCTGGAGAATGGAAAGAGGCAGGATCTCCTGAGCTAATTGGGAGCATGAGGGTAGGGAAGAGGAAGCTAGAATGAGAGAAGGAGAGAAGGAGGGGAGAGGAGGAAATGGAGGAGCAGAAAGGTTGAGTCAGGGGAAGAATAGAGGAGAGCTGGATGAGAGATACCATAACAGAGGGAGCCATTATACGTCCAAGGAGATATCTGGCACTAGGGAGCTTTTCAATGATCTACAAGGAAGACACCAACTGACAATCTAGGCAATGGTGGAGAGGCTATCCTAAATGCCCTTTCCCTATAATGAGACTGATGACTATTTTATATGCCATCCTAGGGCCCTCATCCAGTGGCTGATGGAAGCAGAGGCAGACACCCACAGCTATACACTGAACTGAAATCTGGAACCCAGTTGCAGAGAGGGAGGAATGAAGATCAAAGAGGTTGGGACGGGCTGGTGAAACCCACACAAACAGCTGGTCTGAACAAGGGAGAGCACTTAGACCCCAGACTGCTGTCCGGGAGGTCAGCATGGGACTGATCCAGACCTCTGAACGTGGATGTCAATGAGGAGGCCTTGGCACTCTATGGGGCCCCTGGGAGTGGATCAGTATTTTTCCCTGTTGTAAGAAGGGACTTGGAGAGCCCATCCCACGTGAAGGAAACATGGGGGAGGGCCTAGGCCCAGGATGATGTAGTGGACTTTGGGGAGCCACCTTGGAGGGCCCTACCCTCCCTGGGGAGTGGAGCAGGTATGGGGTGGGGGACTGGCGGGGGATTTGGGGGTGAGGGGAGGGAGAGGGAGAAGGGATTGACATGTGAAGCAAGCTTGCTCCTAATTTGGACTAATAAAAAAATGTAGTAATATTATAACATAATAAAACATAAGATAAACATGGAAATAAACACTGAAGATAATATAATGGTATATTACACTCCAACAGAATAAAACAGAATAAACAGTTATAAATGGCACTGATTATTATGTACTGTAATACTATAATACACTAAAACATAAAATGAACACATGGTTTTTCTTGAATCAATTATTGAAGAAGGGACAGATTTTCTCCTGAGTTTCCCACTGTGGATGGTCAGAGAAGTTGTCAGGCAATTGTTTGTGGCAGGGCAGGCTTGTCCAGTTTGTCTCTTCTATATGTTTTCTTTTCTATTTATTTAGGCAGGGAGAAGAACTGCAAGAATTTCTTGAGGAAGATAAGATAAACTTAGCACAAAAACCCACTTTACAATTGCCTACAAGTACCTGAAAGGGCACTAATATCCCTTTCAAAGAAGGCCCTGGTCCATACAGGATGTCCAGGTGGAAAGAAGACCAGAGATGCTGGAAACGGCACTTCAGCCAGGGGTCTTCTAGTTACTGAACTAAGGGTGAATGGTGAAAGAGCCAGAAATGAAAGGAGTGAGGGTCACGGTGAAAGGCAACAACAGTCAGCTGCATTGCTCTCCATAAAAAGTGTTCTGGTGAGAAGGGGGAACAGAAACATTTGGGGGAAAATCAGTGGAACTAGACCTACCAACAAACTAAGAAAAGAAGGAAATAGAAATATCAATACACAGCAAAACTTGTGAATATTTGGCATAATTTTCATAGGAACTGTCCCACCCTACAAAAATTATCCACTAAAAAACAAAACAGTAAATTCAGCTGCAGTCTTCTTCATTCCCAAGGGTGCAGTTATGAATGCTGTCCCAGCCACCACCGGGAACAGGAGCAGGAAGTCTGCTCACTACGCCAGGGTGACTTTTCACAGGAGGGCCAGTCAGAGCAAAGAAACAGGGTCACAAGACTAGAGAATGGCTCAACAGGTAAGCTCACTTGCTGGTCTTCCAGAAGACACAGGTTCAATTTCTAGCACCCACAAAATAGCTTACAATCTTGCCAACTTCAGGTCCAAGGAACCCATCTCCCACTGCTGGAAAAATTACCCTCTATAGGCACCAGGCACTTATTCAATGAACAAGCATGCAGGCAAAACAGCCATATACATTAAATAAGTTTCTTAAAGGAAGAAAAAGGGTTTACACTTCTGAAAACAGATCAAAGAGTTTCTCTTCACAGATGATGTGGTCCTATCTGCATCAAAATTCTCGAAAATATACAAAAGACTACTGGATGTTTGAAAAAAATGGGTTTACACAGCTGCAGGACATATTGCCAGCATGGTAAAGTCAGTGGCATTTTTCTGTCAATTGGAAATGATTGTCTAAGACAGCACCATTTACAGTAATGACCAAAAAAAACATAAAATACAAATCTAAAAAAAATTCATACTCAGCATAACAAAAACTACATTAAAACTATGAAGGAATCTGGGCAAGGCTGGAGAGTTGGCTCAGTGGGTAAGAGCACTTGCTACTCTTGAAGATGACCTGGGTTCGATTTCAGCACTACAAAGCAACCACCTATAATTCCAGTTTCAGGAAATCTGACACCTGTTGCAGGAGATTTGCTGGCACTGTGAAACTCCAAGACCATGTTAACAAAATTAACCTGAGATCGGGTGCAGAGCCAGCAACTAATTGACAAGAATTAGCCATAGAAAGTACAAAGGACCCAGGAAGATGGATAGGGAGGAACCCAAGAAGTGGAGGGAGGGACGTAGAGATTTCATGGTCTTTGGTCTGGGACATGTGGAGAGAGACATGCATGCTGGGGAGCCGCTAAAAAGGGGAAGGTCAGCTGGTCCTTCCTCCACCTCCTCTTTGATCTGTCAGGTTTCACCCCAATATCTGACTCCAGAGTCTTTATTGGTATTAGAAAAACTAGACTTCAACAACAGATGCCCTTCCCTGACCTTTGTGGGCACTAGGAATGCACTTAAAGCAGATAATTATGCAGGCAAAAACAACTCAAATGCATACAATTTTAATAATAAAAAAGGAAAGAATTCAAAGTAGTTCTAAACACATAAGCAACTGGAACACTCAATATTGCTCATATGTCAACAATTCTTAAGCTAATTTTTTGTTGTTGTTGTGGTGGTGGTGGTTCTTTGTTTTCCTGACAGGGTTTCTCTGTATTGCGTCACAGGTTGTCCTGGAACTCACTCTGTAGACCAGGCTGGCCTGAAACTCACAGAAATCTGCATGCCTCTACCTCCCAAGTGCTGGGATTAAAGGCATGGGCCAACAACACTCTACTCTTAAGCTAATTTATATATTCAGGAGTTTCACTTCCTGGGGAGAGGTTGCCTTCAAAAAAGAAAGACAGAGCACCAAATTATATGAAAAGTCTTATGAAAACTAAAAAGAAATTAGAATAGTCAAAAATGATCCTGAAAAAAAACAAAAAAAAAAAAAAAACTACCACAAACAAAAAATGAAAAAAAAAAAAAAAAAAAATAAAAAAATAAAAAAAGAAAGGGGGGACATAACAACTTCCTGGACTAAGATTCTGGAAGCCTCAGCTTTCTGAGGGCAACCTGGTGTCTGTCTGCTAAAAACAAGAATCAAGCCAGACTGTAAACCCAAGAACAAAGCTTAGTATTGTAAAGTCATTTAATTCTTTAAAAAGGGCAGGTGTTGGGCTTTTTTGAAAGTCTTATGTGTCTATTGACATTTTGAAAATAAGGTTTTTCCAAAAACTCAGAAATGAAATCACAAGTTTTGTGAGGGGGGGGGGTC